TTGAGTGCCTAAATAAAACAAAAAAAGGAAAAAGAAGAGCAAACTCGCTTTTTTTGCTTGAGTTGGAATATCCATCTTCTCCTGCCCTCAAACAGGGACGGGGTCTTATACAAACAGATTTCCTCGTTCTCCAGCTTGCAGACAGAGGATCATGAAACTTCCTGGCCTCCATAATAATGTGAGCCAAAATTCCAATTATTTTTATACACATACATACACACAAAGCCTACTGGTTCTGTTTTTCTGGACAACCCTAATACACAGATCATAATGCTTTATTTTAATTTTTACAGTTAATATTTTTGCTTAGTAATCCCAAATCATCAAAACAATTGTAATGGTCATATCATGATATCTGGCTTACAACTTCAACTACCAGATTCCTAGATATCACACTCAGATAAACTTAAAGGAAAAGGCAATACTCCTTCCTCACCCCCATCCTCCTAACGGACTTACTAACATAAGTCTTAAAGAAGAAACAACTTGAAAGTTTTTGTCATCGTTGGCTCAAGTAAAAATACATCCACAATACGAAGAAACACATTAAAAAAGAAGTATGATTCTTTTTTAAATACTAATTTTATTATATCCTGATCCCTGAACATAAGTCTTACTATTCTGTATGACAAAATAAGAAGTATGCATAGAGCACCTTTGCTGCAAGGGTTGTCTTGAAGAAAATCACTAGTTTGACTGAATCAGGAGCTGAACTAGCTGCTGAAAAATGAGGATTTTTTAAATTGAAAGACTTGTAGGTTCACACTCAGCTGTTAGAAATAATACAGAGAAATCCTGCCTACCTTTAAGCCAATTACCTCCAATGGTAACATCTTGAAAAATCACAGAACATCACAATCAGAATGTTGACACTAGTAAAGTCAAGACACCGAAAATTCCCATCAACCCAAGGGTCCATCACGTTGCCCTTTTATAGCTGCACCAACTCTCCCCTTGCCCCCATTTCTACTTTCCCAAAGTTGCATTTTTCACTAATGGTCCAGGTAGTACCTTTCACCAAAAGGAAGTTTCTTCCCCTCTCACACCCTTTACCATTGTTACCTATGATGAATACAAGTTGCTGCAAAGTATTTCTGTAACTTTTTTTCTCCACCAACCATTTTTAGACTCTCTTATTTGTACCAAAATAAATGGCATAGGTTAAAGAAAAACTATAATTACTTAAATATGCAAAATGATTTTTGGCCAAAGAAACAGAGAGGGTAAAAGATGCCCCAAAGAACAATTAAGAAACTTGCATTGGGCCAAATAATGAAGCATTCCTTCCCCTCTCTCCCCACTCCCTTAGACACCTTATTACACTTTATCAGAGTTTTAATCTTAATGAATATTGGCAAGAAAGGGAAATACTGGAAAGAGCAAGCCAATTTTATATTTGTAACAGATCATGCAAAAGTTCAAAATGATGAATGATTTAAAAGACTAACGCATCAGCATCTCCTTTCAGTAAGACACAACTTCATCTAGTCAATTGGACTTGATGACTTGCCTGGATATCTTAAACCAGTGGTTCTTAAACTTTAGCCAGGAGAGCCTGTCAAGACACTGATTGCTGGCTCCATCCCCAGAGCTTGATTCAGTTGGTCTGTGGTAGGGTCTAAAACTTCACATTTTTAACATGTTCCCAGATGATGTTAATGCTGCTAGCCTGGGCACCACACAGCTTGAAAATCATGACTCTAAACCTTCTAGAGACTGATTTTTATTGAATTCTCCCTAGAGGTTTCAACAGGGACCTTGGCAGACAACACCAAATTTGGGAGACCTAACTATCTTATGCCTGAACTGCTAAATTGCTCTTTGAAGCAATCTGAGGTAAAATAGTTACACAGTTCAAAGTAATTCAGTGTTAAGCTGTCTGTGCACTGCAGCTTAGAATTCCAGACCCCTTTTCCCTTATTATTTCACAGAAACAATAACGAGATGTGCCCCGTGCTGTGCTATAAAGGAAAAAATGCCTATTTAACTCTGGGCGTCAGAGTGAGGGGCTGAGGCCTCCTTGCACTTTGATTTAGTGGGGCTTCTTCACATGAGGTGCAGGAGCTGATTCACAGTGGTCTCAGGAAAAGTCCATTTGTTATTCCCACATCAGCCACTTCAGAATATGAATAATGTAAGTGAAATCCTGGTATTTTCAAATTCAAAAAACCTTCTGCCTCAAGCCTCAAAATCTTCTAGAACTGTTCTATGCATGGCTCACCAGATTCTTGGCTAAAAGAGAGGATGAAATGACACTTATGGAGTCTCAAAATGCTTTATTTTAGCTGGTTTTCCGCCTCCTCCCTATCAAACCTTTTACATATAAGTTACTCAGTAACAAAACCATCTCAGTCATAATATTAACTTTTAACAAAAAATTTCATTTTGTGTCAGGGGTGTTAGTAATAGAAATGAAATGAACAAAGAAGGGAAGATGATGATGACAGGATGCAGACAAACTGAAAACTTATCTCTAAATGGACAAATGACCACACAGAGAAATTAAAGCCAGTATTTTTCTCTAACAGCAAAAATTTATTGAATTGTGTTAGCTGCTAAAAGCAGAGATGTTAATAATACACATGGTTACGGCCCTCATGGAGCTTTACTTTAATTGTTTTGCAAGGAAGACTAACAGAATGATAAATGTAAGTGATTCTTCACAATGCTCTGACTGCTATGAAGAACAGACTGCTATGGGAACATAGGCTAGGCTGCCTGGAGGGAAAGGTGGTACCAAGAAAGGCCTCCCAGCAGAGCCAGCCTCCATTAAGTCTAGATCTAAGACTAAATAAAGCGAGCTCGGCAATGGGGGAGGAGATTGAGTGAGGAGGAAAAGCACACTGGGTGTTTCCACAGGACTCACCCGCACAAAGCAGGGAAGGGTGGGAAGAGAAGCTGGAAGGCTAAGAAGGGCCAGAAGGTGCAGAGCCCTTGGGAAGAGCAATGGGAAGCAGGAGTACATACGCACCTTAGAAGGACACTCTCTGTAGTGTAAATGACGGCCTGAAGGAGGTGACCGACCAGGAGGCACTGCCCAGCACAAAACCAAGTGTTCCAAGGGTGGAGAAGAGCGGGAGGAGGGCGGATGGAGAAAAGACTTTCACAGTATTTTCTAAATAGTGACTCTCAGTTGTTGGACAAACAGGCTACTTAATTAATAGAGACCTAAATTCCACTGATTGTGAAGGATGATTAATTAAATCTTCCGTAAATACCTCTTAAAGTTACTATGGGGCTCAAAAAATCACATTCCTAAATAACCATGTATGTACTTATTACTTACATGCTACTTTCTATTCTCTGAAACTCTTAGCTCCATCCCGATTTCTGGCTAAAAGAAGACCATGTATCTCTGTGTTGAGTTTTCTGTTTTTTAAATTTATATCACAACAAGTATAACAAGCATTAAAGAATAATCTATATTAGAATAAGGAATATTCAGCAAAGTTCTTCAAAAAAAGCATAGTGGAGTCCTAGCCAATGCAATTGTAACAAAATGTAACTTTTTAAAGGATACAATAAAAACCAGTTATCTAGAAATAAATCTAAGAAAAAAAGTACAAGAACTTCATGGTGAAAACTTAAAGAAAAAGACCTAAATAAATTCAGAGAAAATGATGCTCAAGAGCATAACTATGTCAATCTTTCCAAAATAAAATAAATTCCAGTAAAATCTACAGAGAACTTTTCATAGAACTTGACCAGGTAATCCAGTGTTTAATAGAGAAATCACAAAAACACGTTGAATGGGTATAGAAAGGTGTAGAAAGATGCTCCAATAACATTATATAATACTTTTAGATATACAAAATATTACATACTGTCATGAGCTCACACATAAGTAGTAATAGTATAAAAGCATGCATGGGAATGATAAACATCAAATTTTAACTATCAAATTCATTAATAGTAGTTACAGAAAGGAAGGAATGAGATCAGAGAGGCATAAACTAGAGTTTCAGTTATATCTGTTATCTTGTAGTTCTTAAACTAGGTGGTGGACACAAAGACATTTGTTATATTATTCCCTAGTCTTTAAACTCCTTTGGATGTCTTAAATATTTCATTACAAAAAAAAAAAGCACAAAGCAGAATGCCTTTTATTTAAGATCCATATTATTACACGATCTAGCTTAGTTCTCAAATTCCAATCCAATAGCCACATCAGCACCACCTTTAGTAGTTGTTAAAAACATGGATTACCAGGCTATGCCAGAATCAGAATTTCTGGGAGGGGAGCCATGTGATTCTAATACATAGTCTCATTTGGGACCCAGGCTATTAATAACTAATCCATCAGCAAAACCGGTTCCAATCTAATAATGAGATACTTGAGTGCTTGAGGTTGCCTAGTCACTTTCCAATGGATGCCAACTCTCTAGAATGTGGATTCCAACTGGAGGGCAAAACCATACAAATTTTAAAGTATATCCTTCCCTACACCTATCAAAAAGGTCACACATATAAAAACCAGGAATATTTAATAAAATAGTAGTAAATGATTCCAAGACAGAAAATAATTCCTTCCTATCCTCGACAGGGAATATGCCACAGCAGAACTCCACTGGCAGTTTTGTTGAGGGAGCCATACTTAAGAATGAAGTAGGACAACTTGTTGGCAAGACGTATTTCCCTCACGTGTGTAGATGGCAACCTATGCTTCTTTCCTAATTTTCTGCTCTTGTAATAAAATCACAGCTACATTTGTCTAGAAATATGCACAAAACCAATGGGAAACAAAAAATAAATTTAGAAAGAAAAAAATTTGTCAAAAGTTGGAAGTATTAGTACCACCATGACAATTTCCACAGCCTTGCTCCTAAGAAGTAAAGTTAACTAGAGAGGACTCAGTTGTTAGAATACATGAAACAGTCAAGGGCTGACAAATGTATTTCCTTCTAATATTTAAAAATAGCAACTAAGAACATGGAAAGGGATTACTTTGATATTTTAAACATGAATCTGCTAAGCACATCAATACAGAAGGACTCACTTACCGGGGCTTTCTACTCGTTTATAGTGGTAAGGGTTGATGCACACCTCCTTCTGCTTGGAACCAAAAGGAAACTCGCAGCATTCCAGTGGTTTTAGTTCGTGGTGGCTCTGAAGGTCAGGCCAGCGCCAGACACGGCAATAGATGACATGAGGCAGTCCCTTCCGGTGGGAGACCTGCAGCCTGCCATCCAGAGAGCGGGGAATGGTCACACAGTTACTTGGCTGCCCCGGGCAACTCAGTGCCTTTTCCAGTTCCTCCATGGCACCTTTCTTTTTCTTCAATTTTTTCACCAAAGCATCAACAGCTTTCTCTGCCCATTTTTCTTCTTCATCGCCCTGTTTCCACCCAAGAAGTCTCTTCACAGCTGGACTTGTGAAGGAAAATAAACTTGTCACGTTCATAATGACTGCACTAGTTATATACTCCTTGTATGTGGTGAAATAAGGGAGTCTCCAAATACAAAAGAGGAACAGATGAGATTTTACTTTATGTACACAGGATTCTCTTTAGCTTCTTGGTTTTGAGGTCCTGAAAAGTAGAAATGACCATTCCTGGTATTTCAAAATAAAACCCAAAGTCACCACCTAGAAAAGACAAAAGGGGAAAAATTTAAATCATCTCCACTATAAAATCACAATTTATTAAATAATTACTATGGGCCAGGTACTACTTCCAGTGTTTTTATGTATCACAGTGTGCTATGGACTGAATTCTGTACTCCCTGAAACGCATGTTGAAGCCCTGACTCCCACTGTGACTGTATCTGAGACGGAGCATTTAAGGAAGTAAGGAAGGTAGACGAGATCATGAGGGCAGGGCTATTAATCTGATAGGATTGTGGCTTTATAAGAGGAAAGGAGAGATTCCTCTCTCTCCACATGTGTATGTGCTGAGGAAAGCCATGGGAAGACACAGAGAAGGCAGCTGTCTATAAGACCGGGAGATTCCTCACCAGAAGCCAGATTGTTTGGAACCTTGATTTTGGACTTTCCAGGCTCCAGAACTGTGAGAAATAAAATTTGTCATTCAGGTTAACCAATCTATGGTATTTTGTTATGGCAGCCCACGCACAGTATTCAACTTCTCAAATGGTTCTTGCAGCTAGGTAATACAATCATGGGCATTTTATAGATAAATAAAGGTGCAGTTTAAATAATAGAATGTTACTATTTATAGGGGTTCTGAGATAGAAGCAATAGGCACACCTTAGTGCAAAAAAATCCAAGTTCTCAACAGACATTGTAACATTTTATACTTAGATTCACTTAAGAGGCTCTAAAAATCTACTTCAAAACATACTGCAATCAATAAAAACTAAAAACAACAGGAAAAAAATTAAAATACAATAGTCAACATCTGTTTTTGGTTTGTTCAATAATCTTTTATGCTAAAAGAAAAGGTAGTTATATTACTACTATATAAATGCTGCAACATTTTTGGGTATTTATTCAGTAAAGCAAGCCTGTGCCTATGGACTACAGGACAAGCAAGGTAGAAAATTTACTTACTACTTTTTCAAATATGCTTTTTATTAACAACATGAAAGGAATGAAGCACATGAACATGTATCATACCAGATTCTTCAGTCAAGCTGTCTAACTTAAACCTTGTAGTTACCCTTAGCAGACGGAAACACAAAAGTTAAGATTAAAGAGGACAATTTTGCACAAACTCTGTCTCAGAGGCAGTAGCATGTATCACACCAACCTCCTTCCAAAAAATAATTACAAAAGCTAATAAAATATAAACAAGCAAAAAGCCCAACTTTTTAAAGTCATCAAAGGAAAACCAAGGTACTCAGGACTAGAGGGTCAAGAGGCAGGAGAGAAGGGAAAAGCAATGAAGTAGCTGGACATTCTTTACTGCTTTTCCTCTTGAGGCATTTGCCAACACCTATGGCTCTAAGTAGCAAGAGTAGCCAAGCTGAAAGAGGTTGAAGAACTAGTAAGCAGAGATTTAGGGTCATAATATTTAGGAGACAAAAAAAACAAAAACAAAACAGGAGTTGAGGGCTTGCTGAGAAGGAAGCCTCAGTAAATACATTATTTCAGTTAAGACCCCTGGAAGGGTATGCCTAGTTGTATGGACAATAATTAAATAGACCAGTTTTTATACTGAAATAGTCTAGAATCATCTTAATACTAGATTGGATCAAGGAGATGGGAGAAAAGGAGAAAAATTATGACAGAGGCAGTATTTGTAGATATTGTCCAAGGATTTTCTCACACCAACAACAGACTATCTAGACAGACTCAAGAAGCCCTACAAATCCTGAAAAGAATAAATACAAAGAAACCCATGAGTTTTGATGTGTCCTATCATGGTAAAATTGCTGAAAACTTATGATAAAAATCTTTGAAGATGCATTACTCTCAAATAAGTTCAGTAAGATATCTGAGAGTTGACATTTCAACAGAAACAATGTGAACAAGAAGACAATGACATCTTCAGCATGCTAAATGCAAATAACTGGTAACTTAGAATTCTATACTTAGTAGAGAAATGATGCAAAAATATTTGTGAAATAAAGATGCTTTCATACCAAAAACATTTGAGAGGGCTGGCTTTCAGAAGGAATTTGTCAGGCAGAAGGAAAAAGATCCCAGAAAGAAGCCAGGAACTGCAGGACGAGCTCCAGAAAGGTAAAGACGGGTAAGTCTAAATGAATACTGGTTTTACAAAATAATAATAGGAATAACTTATGGTGTTTAAAATATAGGGTTAAAATGCATGACAAAAAAGCAGAAAGGGCCAAATGAAATTAGTGTTCTAAGGTTGCTGTATTACCCAGGCTGTGGTAAAGAATTAAGTTATTATTGAGATAAGTTCTGAAGTTATGTCATAATAAAGCAAATACTAAAAGAATCATTTAGAAACTATAAAAATGTGACAGAGGGGTTAAAAACATGGAATTATTTTTTAAAATATGATCAATCCAAAGAATATAAGAAAGGAGATAAGAGGAGCAAGTAATAGATGGGACAAATAGAAAATGTTAAGATTTAGACCAAGTCCTGAAAGCATCAGCAATTACTTAATATAAACAGATTAAAGGTGCAAGTATAACAGGGGTGGGGATGGGGAGCACCACTTACCTATACCATACTTTAAAGACACACATTAAATAAAAGGGCAGAGAAAGACTGAAAGAAAAAGGAAGGAAAAAGATAAACTATGCATATTCCAATAAAAACATTAGCATAACTATCCAATCAGACAAAACAGACTTTAAAATAAGAAGTATCACCAGAGATTAAGGGGCATTTCACAATCAACTCTCAAAAGAGAGTTGATCTACCATGAATAACATCACAATTTCTGCTAGGAATATATCACAACCCCAAATTTTTAGGCAAGTAGTAACAGTCTCAAAATACATAAAGCAGAAACTGACAGAATTTAAATGACAAAATGACAAACCCACAGTCTTAGTGGAGATTAATATAGTCACTGATAAAACAAGCAAACAAAAATCAATATAGATAAATAATGTTTACAAATTTCATCAATTTATGTACATAGATCATTGCATCCAACAGCCATATAATATGTACTTTCGAATACACAGAATACTTACCCAAAATGACCAATGAGCCATAAAAGAAAATCGCTATGTACCAAAACCATACAGAATATATCTTTAGATCATAATATAACTAAATCAACAAAAGCAGTTATTGTAAATAATTACTTTTAAAAATCCCGTAAGTCAAAGAAGAAACTACAGAAATTAGAAAACACTTTTTCTTTTTTTTAATTTATTTTGTTATCATTAATCTACAATTACATGAAGAACATTATGTTTACTAGGCTTCCCCCTTCACCAAGTCCCCCTCACATAATCCATTACAGTCACTGTCTATCAGTGTAGTAAGATGCTGTGGAATCACTACTTGTGTTCTCTGTGTTGCACAGCCCTCCCCATGCCCCCCCTCCATTATACATGCTAATCGTAATGTCCCCTTTCTTTTTTCCCGGCCCTTATCCCTCCCTTCCCACCCATCCTCCCCAGTCCCTTTCCCTTTGGTAACTGTTAGTCCATTCTTGGGCTCTGTGAGTCTGCTGCTGTTCTGTTCCTTAAGTTTTTTCTTTGTTTTTATACTCCACATATGAGTGAAATCATGTGGTACTTGTCTTTCTCCACCTGGCTGATTTCACTGACCATAATACCCTCTAGCTCCATCCATGTAGTTGCAAATGGTAGGATTTATTTTCTTCTTATGGCTGAATAACATTCCATTGTGTATATGTACCACATCTTCTTTATCCATTCATCTACTGATGGACACTTAGGTTGCTTCCTTTCCTCGGCTACT